TTGCCCACAGGTTCAGGGTCATATACAGTATATTGTGATGCATCTCGTATTGGACTTGGTGCGGTGTTGATGCAAAATGGCAAGGCTATTGCAAATGCTTCATGGTAGTTGAAGATTCACTAGAAGAATTATGCAATTCATGATTTGGAGCTAGCAACCATTGTTCACACGCTGAAGATTTGGAGGCATTATTTATATGGCGTGTCGTGTGAGGTGTTCACAAATCATAAGAGCTTGCAGTATTTGTTCAAGCAGAAGGAGCTCAATTTGAGGCAATGAAGGTGGTTGGAGCTATTGAAAGACTATGATATCACCATCTTGTATTATCCCAGGAAGGCCAATGTGGTGGCTGATGCTTTGAGTAGGAAGTTTGCCAGGTTGGATGTTTCTAAGCCCAGTCGTGTTTTAGCTTGCACAGTCGCTCGATATTCCTTGTTTGAGCGTAACAAGGAATGGCAGTATGATGATCCTCATTTGCTTGTCCTTAGGGACATAGTGCGGCACGGTGATGCCAAGCAGGTTATAGTTGGAGATGATGAAGTTTTAAGGATGCCGGGTCATATTTGCGTGCCTAATGTGGATGAACTTTGTGAGTTAATTCTAGAGGAGACCTATAGTTCCTGGTATTCTATTTATCCGGGCGCCGCCAAGATGTATCAGGATTTGCAGCAGCATTATTTGTGGAGAAGGATGAAGAAGGATATTGTTGTATATATAGCTTGGTTTCTGAATTGTCAGCAGGTAAAGTACGAGCATCAGAGACCTGGTGGTTTGATTCAGCAGATTGAGATTCCTGAGTGGAAGTGGGAGCGTATCACTATGGACTTCGTTGTTGGACTCCCACAGACTTAGAGAAAGTTCGATGCAGTATGGGTTATTGTGGATAGGCTGACTAAGTCAGCTCATTTCATTCTTGTGGCAGTCTCCTATTCTTCGGAGCGGTTGGCAGAGATCTATATCCGTAAGATTGTCCGTCTTCATGGTGTGCCCGTGTCTATAATTTTTGACCGAGGCGTGCAGTTTACCTCGCATTTTTGGAGGGCAGTACATCATGAGTTGGGTATGCGGGTCGAGTTGAGAAAATATTTCATCCTCAGACGGACGGACAGTCCAAGCATACTATTTAGATTTTGAAGGATATGCTCCGTGCCTGTGTTATTGACTTTGGAGGTTCTTGGGATCAGTTTTTGCCGTTAGAGGAGTTTGCCTGCAACAACAGTTATCAGTCGAGCATCTAGATGGCTCCCTATGAGGCATTATATGGTAGACGGTGTCGATAGCCGGTTGGGTGGTTTTAGCCGGAGGAGGCTCAATTATTGGGTACAGATTTAGTACAGGATGCCTTGGATAAGGTTAAGATCATTCAGGATAGACTTCGTATAGCTCAGTCCAGGCAAAAGAGTTATGCCGACCGTAAGGCTCGTGATGCGGCATTCATGGTCGAAGAGAGAGTGTCGCCCATGAAGGGCGTGATGAGATTTGGGAAGAAGGGCAAGTTAAGCCCTAGGTTCATCAAGCCATTTGAGATCCTTGATCGAGTGGGAGAGGTGGCTTACAGACTTGCATTGCCGCTAGGTTTATTAGCAGTGCATCTAGTGTTTCATGTGTCCATGCTTCGGAAGTATCACAACGATCCATCCCATGTGTTAGATTTCAGCACCGTCCAGTTGGACAAGGATTTGACTTAAAAGTAGGAGCCGTTAGCTATTCTAGACATGTAGGTTCATTAGTTGAGATCGAAGAGTTATCATTTGCAGTGGAAAGGTCAGCCTGTTGAGGCAGATACCTGGGAGTCCGAGTCCGATATGCGTGGCAGATATCCCTATCTTTTAACCGACTCAGGTACTTTTCTATTCCGTTCGAGGACGAGCGGTTGTTTAAGAGGTGGAGAATGTGATGACCCAAAAGGTCATCTTCTGTTTTAGAAGTAAAATCCGTGTTTCGAGGCTTTAAAAACCTCATTTTATATCTCCCCGATTTGCATACACAGTCCGGGCATGTACCCGGAAAACCCTTATGTGAAAAATTTAAGAAACGATGAGTTTTGGCCTAAAAAGTTGATTTTGTTGACTTCGGTCAACGTTTTGGATAAACGGACACGGACAGATGTTTCGACGGTCCTGGAGGGTCCATAGTAAATTATGGGACCTGGGTGTATGCCTAGAATCGAATTCCGAAGTCCCTAGTCCGAGAAATAAATTTTTGAAGAAAATTGATAAGATTGAAAATATAATAATTTAAAAGATTTGATCTTATTGTTATCGGGCTTGTATTTTGGTTCCGGAGCCCAGTACAAGTCCGTTATGATATTTAAACATTATCTGTGAAATTTGGTGAAAAACGAAATTGATTTGACGTGATTCGGATATTTGGTTGAGAAAATAAAAGTTTTGAAACTATCTTGAAAATTCCATATGTTTTGGTGTTGAATTCATAATTCTAGGTGTTATTTTGGCAATTTGATCACGCGAGTAAGTTCATATAATGTTTAAGACTTGTGTGCATGTTTGGTTTGGAACCCCGGGGGCTTAGGTGAGTTTCGGATAGGCTACGGAGTGATTTGGAATTTAGAAAAATAGCTGGTATGCTTCGCATTTGCGATCACTGTTGAGGTCTCATTTGCGAGCTTCCCATCGCAAATGCTAAGGGAAGTTGGGCCAACTTATGTTCGCAAATGCGAACAACCCTTCGCATTTGTGAAGTTGATCAGGGATGGGAATTCTTCGCATTTGAGAAGAAAGTGGTCGCAATTGCGATCACTGCACCGCATTTGCGAACAATATGCTCGCATTTACGAAGGCAACAGAAATGCGAAGAGTTTGCATTTGCAAGCTTCGCATTTGCAAAGCTCAGGTCACAAATGCGACATCTGCATTTATTCAAAATATAATTTAGATGGGATTTTCTCCTATTCTTCACATTTTTCAAATCCTAGAACCCTAGAGGCGATTTTTCCAAGACCAAATCTTCCCCCAAAATTTTGGTAAGTGATCCTAACCCACTTTCTTTCATTTTTCCATCATATTTCATGAATTTCCAACCAAAAATCTAAGATTTCTATGGTAGAAATTGGGGGTTTGGGTAGAATTAGGGATTTTTATAAATTGGGGATTTAGACCTCGATTAGGGGTCAGATTTCAAAACCAATTGTATATCCAGGCTCGGGGGTAAATAGATAATCTGGTTTTGGTCCAAATTTCGAGTTTGGACCAAGCAGGCCCGGGGTTAGGTTTTGACTTTTTGGGAAAAATATTGGAAACCCTATAATTATGCATTGGAATTGATTTCTTTAGCATATAATGATGTTATTAAGTTAATTATGACTAGATATGAGTGGATTGGTGGTGGAATCGAGAGATAAAGTAGTAATTGAGCTTTGAAATACCCGTTGGCTTAAGGTAAGTGTTTGGTCTAACTTTGACTTAAGGGATTAGGGATCTCTGACTTATTTGGTATGTAAATTCCATGTGTGTGACGTATAGGTGTAGTGACGAGCACCTATGCGCCGCAAATTATCTGTTTAGCCTGTTAATATTATGTTTCTATCTTAAATGCTACTTGCTTATTGATGTTTCCATGTCTAATTGCTTTTTGTCAAATGTGTTTTTTTCTATTAAAGGTATTAATTGTTCTGTAGTATCATTATATTATATTATTGGTTTAAGTTGGAGTATTGGTGCTTCTTGGTACACTTTGGTTGGTCTCGCTGTGTAGTATTAATTGTTGAAGTTTCATAACTGTATAGACCTCTCATTGTTATGATTTGAGGTATAAATGTTGTGGAGGGTTTGAGCTAAACTGTGAAATACTTGTTCTTATTTTTGTGATTGGTACTGATATGGTGGGATCGAGTTACACGCCGCAACAGGAGGAATAAGGGTGAAATGTGACTGTCTGGTGGGATCCGGTTATGCGCCGCAACAAGGAGTAATAAGGGTGGACAAGTGGGATCAGGTTGCATGCTGCAACAAAAGGAATAAGGGTGATATATTGAGGAGTAATAAGGATGGACTGGTGGGATCGGGTTGCACACCGTAACAAGGAGTAATAAGGGTGAATGTTCATATTGTTATTGATTATATGGTGGGATCGGGATGTGCGCCGCATCATTTGTTGTTTATGTACTCTTCTTCTGCTGAGATTCATTATTGTGGTGTTAAAACTCTCTTAAGGATTGGTTATAGCTGAATATTGGTAGAACGACTGGGTTCCATATTTATTTAATGCAAGTTACTATCCTATTTTATTCTCTTCTTTTTGCTTTATGGTAAACTATTGCAGGATATATATTGTTTATGCCCCGCTGTAGCCTCATCACTACTTCATCGAGATTAGGCTCGGCACTTACCAGTATATGGGCTCGGTTGTACTAATACTGCACTCTGTACTTTCTATGCAGATTTCGGAGCTGGTAGTGGCTGATCGAGAGGTCGGTTGCTGATTCTTCACTTAGGAGACCCAAGGTAGTCCTGTAGGCATCCGCAGGCCCTGGAGTCCCCTCCTATGTTTACTTCATTTCTGTTTTACTTTCTTCGAGATATATGTATTTTCCTTCAAACCATTACTTGTAGTATTCATAGAATGTTCGTGAGTTGTGACACCAGTTTCTGGGTGGTAACTGTTCCGATTTTGTTAATAGTATAAGTATAATCAGTTAAATCATGTACTTCCGCTTTTATTTATGCTGATTTAGTTGTTGTTAAATTTTTAATTATAAAAAGGTAAAGAAAAAAGGTAAACGATTCTCTAACGTTGGCTTTCCAAATGAGTGCGATGTTAGGCGCCATCACAATCCCGACGATAAGAAACTTGGGTCGTTACAATAATCAAAGTTTTTGTTGCTCTTATTAATTACTGTATATTCTACCTATGTAGAAGCGAGAATAAGGTGCTCTTGGTCGTCTAGGGGTATTTTAGTCTTTTCGGTATAGTTTACATAGATTCTACGCCAAAACTTTTCCTTCTCAGCATATTTTATTTTACACTATTCCATTCACGTTCTCTTCCCTAGGATACGTGGCTCTTTCTTTTCTCAAACGTGTAACATCAGGCTCCTCTTGTTTTTGGTGGTTTCAGTTGTTTTCTTAGTTTGCTAACACCTGTGTTTCATGGGGATCAACAATAAACTTTGGGGGTTAAACATTATCTCTTCAGGTTTTTATGGGATCAGCGATATATTTTGGGTTAAAGATTATCTGTTCAGGTTAGATTACTTCGATGCCCTTCTTTTGGGAAAATATGATCTTTACATTTAGGGTTATATTTGACACTTTATAGAATTGTTTAGCTATGACAGCTGAATAAATTCTGGATTAGACGTTGTTCTGCTTGGGTTTTCTCTCCATACTTCACTGTTTACCTTTTCGTCTCTGTGCTCGTTTGCTCATAGGTGATTACTTTGTTTGATCTATAAATTTGAGATTAGATTACACAACTTGTTGGATTTTTCAGCTGTCTGATGTTTACTAATTACCAGTTGCAAAAGCTAAAGGTATAAAAACTTCCATGCTAATTGACGGCGACTGTTTGATGAGCAAAATCAATGGATTACGAAGAAACAAATATTATAACTTATTTATATAATTAAAAGAACTCGCATGGCAGACCGTAACTAATACATTAAAGTAGAAATAAAATGTTTATGGAGTAGTAGTTAACAAAAAATGATAGTAAGTACGTCTAATATGCTTCCAAGGAACCAATAGAGAAAACAATCAGGGAAACTTTTAGTGATGTATCAACTGTCTGAACTTATGTTTTCATTAAGGCTTACTATTATTACCTATTCAGATTTTCACTTAATATTAATCTATCTTAACTTATTTTATCGTACTTCTTAGGAATTAGATATATCAGTAAAAGCACGAATAGATCTAGCGCTGTCAGAGTTGGCTCCAACAATCTTATATGTTTATCAACCAGTTATTTAGCCTAATCTTGTTGTTTCAATTTCATTGATCGTTTGTTGCAGATTTTGAATTTTTAAGGTTGAGTTATTAATAGTACTCTCTACTTTGCAGTCTTGACGCACGTTAAATATGAAGTATATGTCTTTATATTATGACTACTGTTATCCAGATTTGCATACATTTTTTTCTTCCTCGTCCTGCACAAGCTCTCGTGTTATCCTAACAACTAAGAATGATTTCGTTGATGAGATTAACGACATGCTTGTTGCTCGATTTTCAGAGGAAGCAAAAACTTTTGTTGGCATTGATGAAACCATTGAACCTACTAATCAATCACAGTATGAGGATTTACTGCATAGTTTAAATCCACTTGGTCTGCCGCCATACAAATTAACATTGAAAAAGAACTGTCCAATTATATTAATACGAAATTTAAATCCGTCTGAGGGTTTATGTAACAGTACACGTTTGACTTGCTACGACTTTAAATCACATGTCATTAGCGCCAATATTTTAGTGGGTGACTTAAAAAATACACATGTGTTTATCCCAAGAATACCCTTACTATCATCCCAAGACGAAAAAATGCTTGTCCCATTTAAAAGGACACAATTTTCAGTAAGATTGTGTTTCTCCATGACAATAAATAAAGCACAAGGTTAGACATTGGATTTTGTTGGAATTTATTTACGAGAACTTGTTTTTTCACATGGCCAACTTTATGTTGCTTTGTCTAGAGCAAAGAATTCGAACTCTGTGAAGGTGCTAATTCGACGCACTATACCAGGTAGCTATGACGATCGCTGCACAGAAAATATTGTGTACAATGAAATTATTGAAAAGGAGGCTATTTTATGAGGATATTGCAACTAGAGCACATAGTATCTTAGCTAAAAAACCTATGAAGAAGTCGATACAACATACTGTTGGTACGTAATCTGGTGCGTAGCAATCAAAATGCATTCATTGAAGTGATGCAGACCATAGAGGATATATTCTTTGTACATGATTGTTTTGACCCAAGACAAAACAACAATGACCTACAATATGGGCTAACATGGTCATACAGAGACACTTGGTTGCAGGTCTGGTACATGTTCCTAATACTAATAGGTAATATCCGCAAAACTGACACTTCTCTGTAGGGGACAACAGCTAAGAAACATACGCACATCCTGCTAGAAAATGATTCCTATATGTAATTTTAGCAGTGTAGGAAGATCCTAGAAAGTTTTTAGACAAGCAATAATCTTATATTTTTAAAAAACATAAATGTTTACACAACGTGGGTGTTTGCTGTAGTAAGACTACCATAGTGCTAGATTCGTGTGCTAATTGTCATGACATGTAGTTTATACCCAAATGTAATTTTAGCAGTGTAGGAAGATCCTAGAAAGTTTTTAGACAAGCAATAATCTTATATTTTTAAAAAACATAAATGTTTACACAACGTGGGTGTTTGCTGTAGTAAGACTACCATAGTGCTAGATTCGTGTGCTAATGGTCATGACGTGTAGTTTATACCCAAATAGCGTCCTCAGTTCCTCTATTTAATTATCCGTCGGTGTCTATAGCTTATCTTTCAGTAAATGATGATTTATTATTTTTGTTCTTCTTCTTTTCCACTGCAGATTGTACAGAACAAATGAAGTACAGACTAACCATTGGCAATATCACTCCACAAACAAAAGAGTGGATCTCAAAAGTACAAGTGATTGAGAAACCTCGGCCAAGAAAAAGTAAAGATGGAAAGACCTGATTCCAGATTGTCGTTGTTCAAGACGAAAATGTAATTTTCTTTCTACCATGCTATTTCTTGTTCTACTCTCTGACATATAATTTCAATCACCATTATTTTTTAATATAAACAAAAGAAAGAAACTTATCAGTTTAAGTTATCATACAGTTAATGATTTCTCCTGGCGCAAACTATATTAAGAAGTAAATATTAGAAAATCTCTCTGAAGCCATATTTTACGTATCTATCAATCACTCCTGCTTGATATTTTCTTGCCCAGCCTCTTTGGATAAATAAATGTGATACCAAACTTTTGGGTTCTGTTTCGAATTAATTACATCCGCCCTTTTAACCCTTAGTTTGTCTAAAAGTATATTTTTGCATTACTTTTTGCACTTGCCCTGGTCGAAATTTTCTTTTACTTACATATAATTTTTTTGCTACTAACCAGTTCTGCTGAATTTTATACATTCTGGGAGCTACCAGTTTGGATTTTAGGAAGCCTTTTTTAAGATAATTACTGCATATGTCATCATAACATTTGAATTTTACGCATGCTTAGAACTTTTTACATGTGTGTTTTTTCCATCTCTCCGTATATTGGTATAAACAATATAGTTAGGCAGTTTGCACCAATTAATATATCGAGCGAAAAAATAGGTCTAACAAAATATCATTAGAGCTGCTCCATATCTGTATGCTCACTTGTTCGACTGTGTTGTAGCCACATAATATATTGAACAATAATTATCTCTTATGGGACTTATTTTGATTTGTAGTATCATTGTACAAATATTGGCTCGGTTCTGGAAACATACACTTTTTGGGTAAAGGAAACTAGAATAGTAGCAGTTGAGTTGTCACGACCCAAAAATCTCTCCGAAGGAGTCGTGATGGCACCTAGTCTCTAAACTAGGTAAGCCAAACATTAACTGAAATAACATTGATATTTGCCAACTTTAAATTCAATAACTCTTAACAATTTATAATTCTCAAAACCGGTGGTACAAATCACAAGACTTTCTAAGAGTAGTTATACAAAATAAATACATCACTGTTCCGAAACAAAGGGAACAAATGGAAATAAGTACAATTGAAGGTGACTCTGAGGAGTGCGAATGCTGCAGCAAGTTTACCTTGAGTCTCCACCGCACCGAGTAGCTACTATCGATCAAATACCTAGGTCTGTACACAAAAATGTATAGAAGTGTAGTATCATCACAACCGACCCCATGTGCTCGTAAGTGCGTAGCTTAACCTCGGCGAAGTAGTGACGGGGCTAGGACCAGACTACCAAATAAACCTGTGCAAAATAGCGTACAAAAATAATAGGAAGCAGATAACAATGATGCCAACAATGATCAACCAGTGATATAAATAGCAGGCAACAAGAACACCATAAATGTTTCTCAACAAATAATAAATACAAGTGCAATCAATTAATCAAGTCCTTCAAATATAAATCTTTCGCCTATAAATCCTTCAAGTAATAATCTCTAAGATAATATGCTTTTCAATAAATATATTTCGAATATATATCCTTCAAATAAATATCTTTCAGATAAGCATCTTTCGAATATAATTCTTTCGAGTAAAGGTCACCTTGTGACACCTCATTTCATAATCATAAATAATATAGGTCTCAGCCCACTTTCATATTTTCACGGCACCTCGTGCCCATATTTATGTCACAACCGCACGNAATCATAAATAATATAGGTCTCAGCCCACTTTCATATTTTCACGGCACCTCGTGCCCATATTTATGTCACAACTGCACGGACAACTCACGTGCCATTAAATAAAACCATAATATTTTCCCTAGCACCTTGTGCCCTCATATTTCTGTCTCACATTGCACAACAATATTCTCATGTTACTCAGCTCATAGGTTCCATAACCCAATACAATTAAGAGTGTTCAAGGAGCGTCATTCGCTTAACATAAAGTAGAGTACAACTTCCAACCTAATTAGGAAATCAACAAGAAAAGATGAAATTATTTTTTTTTTGAAATCATTTGATAAAGAAAAAACCATTTTCAATGAAAGTACAATATCGAAGGAATCATTACCTTTAATACGAAAAATTAATAAATCAAAACATAGTAGAAATTCCTTTTTAAGTAAAGTACAACCTCAAACGATTTAAGGAAACTTTAGTTGAGAAATCAATTGAGTTAAATGTAATAATTCTTTAAATTTGAAGTATTGAATATATTAAAAAAATAAGGCGAGGTATTGTAAACACTATGGATTCCAACACAAAGGATCACAACAGTAAAGGGATCTAAACAGTTAATACACTTGAATTGTTAATAACAAGTAAACACAGCAAACAGAAAGT